TATTCCGAAATATACGGTATACCATTCTGTTTTTTAATCCAAGATTTTAACTTCAATATTTTTTTCATTTCCCAAGATTCCCCTGTGCTTCTACTCAGTGGAACCACACTATCAACTAGTAGGTTGCTTCTACTTGATGGAAGACCACTATACTTTGTTGTTGTTGTTGTAAACATGCACAGCACAAGCAAGTTTTATGTGCCAGTGTCAAGTTATGAGTGGGAACCAGTGCATCATGAACTGCTATGATGAAATTATGATAAGATTTGTAATGTATTTCCCAGACACTGTTACCAACTTATTTCCTGTTTACTTCTTCTTCTGCCTCAGTATCTTCTACAGAATATTTATGCCTCTCACTTTGTGTGCCTTAAACCCCCTTAAAGAGGCTCAAATTGATTAGGTTAAATGTCAAGTTTATTACCATATATATATTCAAACTCCATCTGTACTTTCACTCCAAAAACATGTATGACTCAATGTAGGTTGACAGTTGAAATTTCTCGCACAGGAATCCCAATACATCATCAGGTTACATGACTTGCTACATTATTAACTTTTGGATTTAGCAGAAGTTCAGCAAAATATTGATGTTTTTCCATATCTTTTGGTCTTTACGTTGCATTTTTGAATAAAACTCTGTAGCAGCATATTATAATAGACCCTAAACGTTACAATGCGTAATTTTTTTCTTTAAATCATAAATCCTTTAATAAAATGTATATACCCATCGTTTCTTTTTCTTGCTTAACACTACGAAGATAGTCTCTTCTTTTCTCATGAAGAACATGCTGAAGCCACTTGAATTGATCGATGTAAAGCGATTGGAGTCGTATCAACTTCTCCCTTGTAATTTGGACTACTTCTTCAGCAGTATAGACTCCAGCATGTCTAAGAACAATTACAAACATATGTAAAATAAACGTCTCACTATGAATCACATAAACAATATTTTACATAAAGTTTATACACATTAATATGTATTTATATATTTAAGCACTACAATTCAAAACTAAATAAGACATATGTGTAAATAAAGAGCATCTGCCAACGCAAAATAAGAATCTTGTACATTGCTAAACAGCCAAGGTCGTCCCTTTCTGCAGCACCAAATTAGTTTTACTTTCCATACTCTTTAGTTATTTTTGCAGCTATAATTTTTTCATCCAGTTGGAAAAATTAACAAAAAAAAATCACATCATATGAATTTTTTTTATGGTTATACCAACCAATTTGTCTTTTTCCTGGTGGGGCCAGACTTGCACAACATGAAACAAAATATATTTAATTGTCTAGTTCCAGCAGTTTTTAAAATAAAACATGCATTGATAATGCTATTCCTATTTATCTAAATTTATATTCTTCTTTATTATATACCCAAAAGAGTTTAAAAGAAAATTTAAGATTAAAAAAACTTCCAAGTTAAAGAATATCATGATTGTAATAAATTACTAATTTTGCCATTAAAATGACTTAACTTGCTTCAGGTTTGGGAAAATGAATTAACTGAGAGATCATATTTACACTCTAAAATGATGAAAACTCAGAAGCACCCATTGGGTTTGCTCCCTGGCCTCCCTCCCTCCCACCAGGTCATACATTTTGGTGAGGGACCTCTGGCAGTCCACAGATTCTAAGAACATCACTGATTATAAGGAAAGTGATTTATTTGCTTTTTGGGATTTTTTGCACAAAAGCTATTTGTACATATCTCTTACAAACTTAGTGATACACTAGAGGGAATGCAGTTAGTCAACAGCACCAACTACCAACTCTTGAGTTACTCTTCTTTGATCTAATACTTGAGAGTTTACTATCATTCTTAGTGTACTCATGGTTCAAAAGTGTAGAGCATGTATTTCACCAATGAAAAATATTAGAGATAATGCTACCATCACACCATCATTAGAATTCATGTGTGCAAAAATACGAGACAGATGAAAAAAAAATTAATACACCAACATAAAGTGTTTTTTTATTATTATTATTATTATACATATGTTTTCAACAATTTATTATGCTTCACAATCATTCTGTAGTGGCCCCCAGCGAGAAAGTGGTAAGTCTTCGGATTTATAATGCCAAAATCAGGGGTTCGATCCCTCTCGGTAGACACAGCAGATAGCCTGATGTGGCTTTGCTATACGAAAACACACATATTCTGTAGTGTTCATATTCACCTTACAATAGCACAGAAAATACAAACAATTAATGAACCATTGTCACACTTCAAATTACAAAACTGGTTTTCAATATGAAATGCTCAGAAAAAGAAACCTTATGTCATGTTATGTCATTAGCCTTGCACTGAATGAAACTCCCATCCCTACATTTAATAATGCGTGCTATTCCAGTCCATGATTCAATCAGCATGACACTACTGCCCTCCACCAACAGAAGAGTGACACATACTCCATGTGCAGTACTACCTTTGAGCACTTAGTTTATAACGAAATGCTCATTCTTGATGAGTCAAAGGAGACACATCAGAAATGGCAAGAAAGGGTGGGCAGCTCTGTGGAGAGGTGAGTATCAATATGAAATACATTTTCATATAATGAAAATGTTAATTTTAGAAATGCTAGTCATATCTCCACAGAACAAACAGCTAGTATTCCACACTGAGAAAATGGTGAGATACTGGTGCAGATAAAAAAAAAAACCTACTAGGAGCCTGTATTGATCTCAGGCACAGAGTTCTTTTAGCCCAGTATGTGGTAAAGCAAAAGGTTCTGTCAAAAGACCATCTTGCATGATGCTTAAGTATTGTAGATGTGTGTGAAATGTAAAGGCTGCTCAACCAACTTGTCTATTTCAGGAGGATGGCAGGCAATGTATGTGTAGTGTGGCTAGGGCAATATGTCAGGCTGTACAGTATGTGATATACTTAGAAGAATAAGCAGGATCAGGGATGAATGATTCCAGACCTACATCTGGAATGGTCTGGTTCTTAGAGGGGAGTTGGCCTATACTACGCTTCTTGATCTAATTCTATCAAAAATAGTAACTTACTTAAGGGGATCTTCCAATTCATTTTCTACACTTTCAGCATCACTTTCATCATCTCCTTTCCACAGCTGGTCAACAAACATTCCATCTTTTTCACTGTTACTGTCACTGCTGTAACCTGTTAACAATAAGTTTTTAAAAGTAATCTTACATAACCCAAAGTGTTGATTACATTCTCTTTTTGACATATGCACAGTTTTCCACTTAAAAGTTATTTAAAACTTACAACTGAATGTTTCATTTTAAAATTGATCTGAAATCCATTCTAACCACTGGATAGACATGAACTATAAATTTTGACTATAACAACTGGCTCATACAGTTGAAAACAAGCAGAAACAGAACTTTGTTTACATATTTAGATAACTAAACTGTGACTTACAAAAGCTATAATATTAGCATTTACATCAAACCATGACAAATGAGGTTGAAAAACAGTGATTGGCCAAAACTGATAAAACTTCATCCATATTGAAGTTACAAGGTTTCAGTTTAATGCTATTTTGGTTAAACCTATTTCAACTGTTCTCCTAGAGGGCTAGAAGTACAGTATTATACTCAGAATAAATTCCAAAAATTCACAAACTCTAATGTTTTCATTCAGTGTGTTGAAATCAACTCAGAATCAAAATCTGTAATTTTTTAACACCTAAAATTAAGTAACTAGAACCTTATGTAAAAGAATGACTAGAAGTATTAGGTCGTAGAGAAATTAATGTCGCGTTTTGAAACACTTACATTAACCACCCCCGAAAAACGTACATCATGTATAATAGTTAAAAAACCGCCTAAACATCACA